TTCCTTGCACCGGCCCTGGTGCTTGTAGATTCTTCAGTAAAATGATATACTGTTAAATTCTTTGGTTCCAGGCACATAGGAGTAAACAAGCATTGTATGCTTGCTTACTCCCTTTTCCCCTGAGCAGGCAGATGGGGAGGGGCAGGGACTGACACATGCTGACTGTTCCTGACACACAACTGTCCCAGCATTAATACATCCTTTGCTTGTGAGGCAGAAAAGTGCATAATGTGTAACCACTGCTACCCTGAGTAGCTATCTTGCACATTTGAATATACATCATGCTACTACAAGTCACATGAGTGTTGTACAGGATTTAGTCTTAAGTAAACCATTTTTGTACTTCTATGTACCTTCTAGTTCTTGGTTTGGTGCCCATATGCATGTAGCCACTAGCTACAGTCAGGGTATGTCTACACTTGGAGCTCTTGGTGTGATTCCCAGCTTGCATAGACATACTTGCACTAGCTCTCATTGAGGTAGCGCACTAAAAATAGAAGTGTAGCTGGGGTGCCCCAGGAGCAACGAGTGCACAAGCCAGCAAAGTACAAACCTGACTGAAACCTGTGGGTACATATGCCACTCAGCTACTCTATGTTGCTGCTCACTGTTACCCTGGCTGCACTACTGTTTTTAGCATGCTAGCTCAAGGAGAGCAAGTGTGAGTATGTCTATGCGAGCTGGGTATCACACCCCTAACTCCGACTGTAGGCATAACCTCAGAAGTAATAGAATAGCAGACTCTCCTCATATTGTCCAATGATTTCTTAGCAACAAAAACACTTTTCAGTGATTCGTAAAACTAAATACTCCTTTTGCTTACTGAGATTTGGAAGGCAGCTGCTCCATAATTGTGCAGTTTATCTTAAACACCACTGATTTCTGCAATTATACTGTATACTGAAACCCAGAATACTTGGTTTACAAAGTCAGGTCCTTCCATGTTATTTTTTATTTACTGAGTGCACATAAGTACAGAAGTTAGTAAAGGGATCTTGCAGTAAACATTCTTAAAAAACAAAACAAACAAACAACAAAATATACCTTTGGTCTAATCTCCAAAAATGTGTGCTTGCAATTGCACATGGAAAAATGCCTGTGAAACTAAGTGATTATTTGTATGGCTAAAATGGGCATATTAAGCATTCAAATGTACACTATGTATTTACATATTTGTTTGCACAAAATTCTAATTGCATGTATAACCCTAGTAACTACACAAACACATTAGGTGGGTGACTGGATGTGTATTTTTGCATCCACCTTTTTGAAAATCCAAATCCAAATATGTCTTGTAAACTCAGCACTTAGATTTCAAGTAACAAAATTTCTTCTGGGACTTCTTCTAATCCCTCTCATTTGTATCTTCATATTTTTGAAATGAGCTCACTTCAGGTAAATATGTGCCAAATATTTTTTATTTGGCCTTTGAAAATCTGTTAGGGTACAAAAAAGTTACTTTTTCTCTTTTGTCTTTATGTCACACAAGCATGCTTTTGGCTAGGTGTGTGGGCTTGGCAACATGATTTTGTTACAGATAACAGCACAAGGAATTAATTAATACTGCAGGTTGGACTTTGATACATTTTTATTTAAAAGAACTTTATAATCACATTAGAGATTGGCCAAAAAAGAACCTGAAACCAGAACTCGTTCAGATTTCAGAGGAGTATGATTGGAGCGGTGTTGGATTTGTACGCCATCCTCAGGGTTTTGTTACAGAGTAAAATTCAAAACCATAAAGAGGTTCTATTTTTATTCTAATTTGGATGTGGCCAAAATCTCATTAGAATAGTCACTGTAATGAGATTTTGGCCCAATAGAGTTGAAGTCTCTTGAGATTGTTAGTTTGTCTTCAAACCTGAGGCCTAGCATAAACCTGAACCAGAGTTATTTTAAGAAACAGGTATTACTCAAATTGTAAATCATGCTATCTTATTTTTCTCCATTTTGGTTGGTACCATTTGAAAACCAGTGGAGACATTCATTAAACATTCTTTTATCATTACAAACCTTTAACTACCGATTTACACTAGTGTAACGGAGGTCAGAATCTGGCCCCATAGTTGCAGCATATCTGTACTTTCTTCTGGGCAGATACCAACCACATGTTTGAATGTACAGCATAGAGATATTCTCTCTTTTGACCATACTAGAGTACTGAATAAAATTTAAAGAAAATCCTAGTAAAACGAACATTAAGAGCATGCTGATGTCTTAACACTTTGAGTTTATGCCTCCACAGCTTTTCATATGGTACCAACCAAAATATACCTGGAAAAATATAAAATAATATGTTCAGTTTATTCCAGATTTACATCAGTGTAACTGAGATCAGAATATGGGATAGTTTTGAAATCCCTTATGTTCTATACCATACAACCAGCTGCCCCCTACCAAATGTACTCAATTACACAAACAACAAAGATCCACCATGATCATATGCAGGGCCGGTGCAACCACTAGGCGAACTAGGCAGCCGCCTAGGGCGCCTAGTGGTTGAGGGTGCCTAAAAGCCCGCTCAGGCGAGGATGTGGAGTGGAGGTGAGCGGGGGCGCGGGGGCACGGGGAAGGCCGCCTGCAGTAACGGGGGGCGGGGCTGCACGGGGAAACCGCTCCCCGCCCCACCTCCACTCTGCCTCCTCCGCTGAGCACACAGCCCCTGCTCTAATTCTCCTCCAATCGGCGCCGCAAGCCTGGGAGGGGAGGAGAATTAGAGCGGCACCAGCGGGCTCAGCGGAGGAGGCAGAGCGGAGGTGAGCTGGGGCGGGCTCCCTGGGCGGGGTTAGCTTGTGCGGGGGGGGAGGGAGGCTCCCCAGGCGGGGTTAGCTGCAGGGGGGGGGTAGCTGCTGTGGGGGGGGCTCCCCAGGCAGGGGGGCGGCGGGCTCCCCGGGTGGGGGTGGCGGGCTGGGTTAGCTGCCGCGGCGGGCGGAATTAGCTGCCACAGGGTGGGGGGCTCTTCTGGTGGGGGTGGGTGGGCGTGGTTAGCTGCCACGGGGGGACAGGGTTAATGAGGTGAGGGGGTGGCGCAAGGTGGAAGTTTCGCCTAGGGCACGAAATTTCCTTGCACCGGCCCTGATCATATGAGCCAAAAATAACAACGTGCCTTAAAAAGTATAGAAGCCTGTTGCATACATTTGCTACAGTAGTTTCAAAGCAATTGCTTTTTATACTTTTCTATGAGAACTCAGACACAAGACTAACCACTTCTTGGAGTCCATGTGCTATTGGTGAATAGACACAGGATAATTTCATGTCTCTGGTTTCCACTAATGGTAACAACATAGAGGGCTTTCGCCTCTGTTCTTTCTCCAAACACTCCACAGATACCCTGGTCTGGTGGTACATCTTTAGTCCTATGTTGACTTTTTTCATAGATTCCAAGGCCAGAAGGGACCACTATGATTATCTAGTCTGACCTCCTGTATAACACTGGCCTGCACTCCCCCAAAATAATTCTTAGAGCAGATCTTCTAGAAAAACATCCGACTTAAGTTGCTCTTGCTGCCCATATCACATGTTTGCTCCAGTACACTAAGTTGCTAAATGATGACTTTCTAATGTGTTCTCACTTCTCTATGTTATTTTGCTTCTCTTATTATTTTCATATTGTAGTTCTACCATATTGCTAAGTGGCTTCTCTTCTGTTTGCCATTTGAGTTGTTACTTTCCCTTTGTGCTTGAAAGGTAACAGTGGTACTTTCTATAATTCAGATGATGAAAGTGCATCCCGGAGTGAATGCTTTCCAACTGAAATGATACGAAAAATTATTAAAATGTGAGATTAATTTGGATAATGGGTTAGCTTGCTGTTGCTTGTCACATTCCACTGCCTGCTCCTTCCAAAACCTTAACTGCTATCTGATCTTAATCAGTTCCATATATTAGATTATGTAACTATGACAGTTACATATTTCCCTTAACAAAAATACACATTACTCATACTTTTGAGAGGTCTTTCTCCTGAACCTACAGTACCTATATTTTTACAACTCAGTTAATGCACTTATTGTATTATTGTAGATGAAATCTATCAGTCAAAAATATTTCTGAAAAGTGGGAGAAAAAACACAGGCATGTACTTTAACACACCATTTGTCCTGAAAATATGGTGGAATTACAGAAGTATTCCAATGTGCAGAAGGGAAATGATCAATCTTATGGCCCAGTTCTGCCATTCGTAAGGCAAAACTCCCATTGCCTTTAATGTGAACTTTACCTGGAGAAAAAAAACCTCAAAAAACTAAGGACTGCAGAATTTGGCCCTGGAGTAGTTAATATGGTTGCACGCTATTATTTTGTGAATAGAAATATAAATAAGCATGTAAAACCCAAAGCAGCTTGGGTGCAATAATTTAAATATGCTCTTTATAATTACTTTCTAATTGCTTCTAATAAGTAAACTGTGTGAGTGGCTGCCTGTGTATCAGACTAATGGCCAGTTACACACACCTTAAGAGATGTCTGATGGATCATAAGGAATAGCATAAGGTATTGAAATTGTACATCCTTGAATTTGTAATGTGATTTCCATAAGCACGCTTTTTGTCTATATGATCTCAGCGCTGAGATCTACTGCAGGATTGCACCTACTACAGTATGGAGACTTATACCAGTTATGGGGCAATTGGGTGGCTGTTATGAGACATCAATATTTCTTTGAATCTCATAGAAAAGAAATGTTTTGCAGGAAAGACTGATACCTTCATAGAAACGTCCATTCTAAAATAGATATACACCTCTACCCCGATATAACGTGACCCGATATAACACGAATTCAGATATAATGTGGTATAGCAGTGCTCCGGGGGCGTGGGGCTGTGCACTCCGGCGGATCAAAGCAAGTTCGATATAACGCGGTTTCACCTATAATGCGGTAAGATTTTTTGGCTCCCAAGGACAGCGTTATATCGGGGTAGAGGTGTATTTTTAAAAGTTTGGCCTATACATTGTGTTCAGCTACAGTCATCCATTGCTTTGGTATTTATTTATCTGAACAGGTGCGATGCCGGTTTAGCCAGATTGTCTGCAGAGCACAAAATTACGTATGAAAGACTTCAAAGCCTAAGCAAAGACCAACAAGCTTCTAAAATGATCTTGGAATCTAAAATCAAAGAGGCAGAAATACAGGTATGTTGTATAAAACAAGTGATCTTCATAAGAGGGGGAGTTTAACTTCATGAACAAAAACACCATATTGTTAAGCTAATGCCACTGGAGTTGCTGGCTTTCAGAAGAAACATAATCAAGGTCCTGACCATTTTTACTCATTAAAGATCCCATGACACTGTGCAAATGTAGGTGCAAATATGTCTGCTCTGGAATCCAGACCAAATCTGAATTGGTACATCCATTTCATCTATTTACATTCTTCTGTTGCTCTAACTGGATAAAGTATTCGTAATTTCCTGTCCCTAAAATATTGTTTAGTGGTTGCTAGTATTGTTCTAATGCCTTCTGTGAGCAACCCCAGTAATGGATGCATTTCAGAAGGGGTTCCCTTTGGGTTAGTCTGTGGCATTCAGCCACAAACCAGGAGTGATGCAGAGCCCCTGCAAGAGCACCAGGAACATTTTGCACCATGCAGGCACAGTTTCCACGGGTGCTGCTCCTTGTGCATTTTTCACGAGCCATTTGGGTTATACAAAATGCTGCATATAAGAAAATAGTTATACAGAATACCATGATGCACCAGCTGATTCCATGGGCGAGTATGGAGGGGGTGTTGCCAAGTCTCTATCTGTTTTACAGCAGACATGCAAGTGAGGGACAAGCTTCTTGCTTGTTCCTGTGCACTAGTGTGACCTCATAGGGGCCACTCACAATCAAAACCTATATCTGTGCAGTAATAATTCTGTCAAACACATCATGTAATCCCATTGAGCTAGCCAGTGGTACTGTAGGTGTATTAGTCACAGAGGAAAATCAGTCCCATGAGACTTCCAACTTCTGTATTTAAACCCTGATCAGAAAAGAGCTCAATAAAGACATTTTCCATGATTCAAGTAGGTTACACTTACAATTTTAAAACATGGGGAAAAAATCTATATTCTGTAACGTACTAATACAGTCTCACTCTTCATGTTACTGTAGTTGAACATTAGCATTTCCATTGTATGCAGTACAAATTTCACACCGATCTAAAGCTTGGCACACAAGAGCAGTCTGATAATTCACTTTTTTCCCTTTTCCACTTTTTTAAAACAATCTGTTCCATTTTAATGAATGCCTCAAATATAGAAGCTGATTTATAGAAATAGATTGGTTTAAGATGCATTTTCTACACCTATATAATTAAAATATTGCTTTAATTTATAAACTCAGATTTCCCATGTATTGAGTAATGCAGGTAGTGAGGTGTACAGCTCTTAAGCAGTAACTTTTAAAATTACAGTTTCACCGAGATTGCCAGCACACTGACTGCTGGTACAGGGCCTGTTCTCTGGATGGGCCACCTGTTACCTTCAGTCTTTGTGCGTAACTACCATTGTTGTCAATGAGAATTCAGCACTGGAATGAGGTTGTAACATGACCTGATGTGTGCACATGGACAATAGTAGGAATTGAAGTGTGCCTTTGGGACAAATCCTATTCTCCCCCTCCCCCATACTCTCTCAATGGGTTTGGAAAGCCCAGTAGGTAATGGAAGGAAGAATGCAGGCCTGCCCAAGAGATGTGTACCATGGATAGTACGCCTGAGAGCTACCTCACACAGGGACGTTTTGGAGTGGGGTGCGGCTACGTGATATTCCTCACCTGCTCACAAAAAAAAGTCCGGGCAGATGCTCTGACTGCAAAGACACAGCTCCCCCCAGTTGTTGTTGGCTGAGAAATTATGATCTTAGTAATGCTGCCACTCCAGTTGTGTGGGTTAGTAGATTTTGCATGATGAGGACAGTTTAAAAAACTAAATGGAAAATTGGCAAGTAGGTTAAAGTTTGGGACCATCAATTAGAGCAGCGTCCCTTTAAAATCTTATAAGAATTTATGTTCTAAGCACAATGTGTGACGAGTTTGAGGAGAAAAATACTAAACTCAGAATTCTGCTTCAGATTTCTTACCTTCTGAGCAGAGTAGAGCAGTCAATAATGCAACAAGAAGCAAAACTGAAGATTGCCTACAAAGAGAGCAACCAACAGCTCCACCTTCTGGATGTTAAGTGAGTACTCACCTTATTAGAAAATTAAATCAAGGGGCTAGACTTGCAAACCTGGAGTAATCCTTATGAGAGGATCTTTGCATGAATGAGGTGTTGGACTGGGACCCAAATGAAGGTACATTAATTTGTACATTTGCTCACTTCTGTAATAATACTCAGTAAGAGCCAGATTTGCAAAGATAATTTGGCTCCTAGAAATGCAGAGAGGCACCTAGTGGATTTTACAGAAGCAGCTAAGTTAGTTCAGCATCTCACTCTTATTGACTTGCAGTGGGAGTTCAGCTCCTAACCTGTGTAGATGCTTTTGTAAACCCCACTATGCACCTTTCTGTATTTTAGGCACCTAAATGCTTCTGTAAATCTGGTCATAAACCACTTTGAACTAAATTTGTAAAACATTGTGGGCCAGATGTAAGTATTAAGACCTGGAAAAGAATGTATACTGTGTATACACGTGCAGACAGCCAGACACGGAATTCAATAGGTGTAACAGTTTCAAACTGGCTGTAACTATATATGTGCACATCCAGTTACTGCAACTATCTCAGCACCATGCCAAAATGAGAGAGGCAAATGCATAGGACTTCAAATACTACAGCACATTTAAATATATACATGTAGATCCAAATACTAAAATCTTTATTCAGTCCTTTCCAATCCAAACTCTCATGAGCTTCAAAGACTGTAAAGTGAATGGGATGTCACACTTGTTTCTAGGCTATGGCATTCTATTTCTTGATGGGTCTGCATCGTATATGCCTGAAAATACTGCAACTATATTTTGTGCAATTAATTGCTGTTCTATTACAGTCTCTCATCCTTGATTATCTGAAACAATTAACATAAACCAAGCCCAGCAGTGTGAAATTTCAAAACATTGCATGAATATGCTGTCAAACATGCTATGGAGGAAAAAGGGGATTTTTATGTTGATTGTCATAAAAACTCCACAGTCCAATGATCAAAGAACATGAGATGCTCTTATATATTTCCAGACATGCTCATTTATTTTATTCTCTTAGATTAAAAGGTGCAGTAGAGGAACTCAGCAGCCAGATATTGTCTGCTCGCAGCTGGTTGGAACAGGAACATGAACGGATTGAAAAAGAGCTTTTACAGAAAATTGATCAGATTTCCTTGGCCCTTAAGGAAAAGACCGTAGGTTTCTGTAATAAAAGAATAAATGTTCTGAAAATACTTCTAGAGACGTATACAAGCAAATGTTGCTGAGTTGGCATTTGGTGGGATTTTCAGAAGTGTTCAATATGGGCATAAGTCTGCTGCTGTTGATGCAATGATAAAATTCCCATTGATTGCGAACTTTTGAAACCCACCCAATAATGATAGATAAATCTGAACACTACTTTTAAATTTACAAATATTCCATCTTACAAATAAAATGAAGAAAAAGCAGCTTACAGTGACCAAGCCAATTTGAGAATTTTTATTAGCTATATTTTATAACTGCATAAGATTTTAAATCTTGTATAGAAAATGATAAGTAAGCATTGCCACTTGTTGCATCTCTAGGGAATGAACAGTTTATTACCCAAAGAATTTGGTAATTTATTACTCAAAGAATAACCAAACATAATTATTTTCATTGATCCCAGGAAATGAGTGAAAGGGCCATAGAGATGAGATTCAGCCAGATGTCAGAGAAACTTGATAAAATAGAAGAAATACAAAAAATAACCATGGAAGAACATGGAACAAAACAGGCTGAAGAGAAGATAAATATTCGAATCAGCAAGCTTCAGAT